AAAAATGATCAACAGCCATCAAGATTTTCAAGGTAACCACAATTTATACACTACGCAAGTGTGGATAGTCACTCCAGTATTCCAGTCACAAGTCAGCCACGACTGTAGTTTCATTATATGGACTCGAGTCCCTGCCCCAGTAACGACTATGACTAGCACACACGATATAGTAGAATAAATGAAAAGTTTTACCCTTACAATTACTAACTCACTAGGTACTGAAAGGCCCTAATTATAATAAATCCTAATGGCAAGATCAAGGGAAGCATGTTTCTCATCAGAGTTTTCTTAGCGCTTTAACTATTTTCCAACCCAACAATAATCCTAAATGAATGTAGGACTTTAGAGGACTCTTCAATTCTGTCTTTAACTACCAATTATTATTAGCAGCTTTTGACCTTTATTTGTTATAAACTACTTTTCTCAATAGTCTGTACCGCGTTAGACAGCAAGCACCACTTAATTCTGCATCTACCTCGCGGAAACCATACCTCGCAAGTTCCAACCAAATGAAAGCCTAAGACTACTTGAGATATTACCTAACAATACACAACACAAAATAACACTATCAGACGTAATTCTAATGACCATGTATAATCTCGGATCTAAAACATCACAGCTATTTTCTTTAAATAACTACCCGACAAAAATAAAATAAAATTTCAAATTGGAAAACTAACAATTGTAAACTCAAGTCTTTGACTCGTTTTTGACCCATATGGTATCGGAATCATAATAAATGGAACAAAGTCACCTGGTATAATCCCGATGGAAGCAGTGTCCAATTGCAGACATCAACACGCCGCTCACCAAACGCTGCGTGAACACCGCGTATCTTACGCTGTCACTGGTCGCCAATGTACTCCGGCTTGAATTGGGACCACGTCATGTCTTCATTTGCTGCTTCAGATAGCGATTCAGTTCGAAGTAGCTGCCTCAACGTTAGCCACGTGGAATCTTCACTACCGAATAGCTAGCTATGTATAGCTAAGCACTTCCAATCTTGCAGCACTATCTTCTTCGTCGCATTTGCATGTAGGTAGTTCTTCACGAACCGGCTCCGATAATTTTAACATTTTCAATAATCCCGGTCCATCCCACTTCTGATGTAGGATCAGGGTCCGACATTATTTGAAAATAAAACAAAGGGCTTCACACAATCACTTAGTTTATTTCGAACTTACTTTCACATTAATTTTTAATTATAATAATTGAATAATTCAGCACTGATTATATAAAGGAAACACTCAAATAAAACCAACAATAAAATTACTCAGCGATTGCGTAACGTGTGAACTGGGCAACGATCGACGAACGACTGACTCGAGGTTGCGCTTGCGCTGCTTTATATATCACTCGGTGGTGGGGTTGAAGTGACGTCAGTTGTTTGTTCACAGCTTGCAATAATGACGGCGGCGCCGTCATACTTAATATATAATAATAACAATAAATAAAATACACACATAGAAATAAAAAAAAAAGTATCAGTACTCATGTAGAAAGGTAATGGTCCTTAATTAGTTTTTTAAAGAGAGCGATAGATTTAGCGTCTCGAATGTTAGGCGGCAGAGAATTCCACAGTCTCACAGCATAAACGGTGAAGGAATAGGAGAAGAAGTCGGTATTATGAGGCACAATTTTAAGATTGGACTTAAGATGAGAACGGGTAAGGACTTCAGGAGGACGGACCAAGGAGAAACGGTCACGGAGGTACGCAGGATAAGTTGGATTGAAGAGGGTATTATAGAGGAGGCATAAAATGCGAGTGTTCCTGCGAAGACGGATAGGGAGCCACTTGAGCCTATTGCGAAATTCGGAGACATGATCATATTTCTTAAGACCGAATACAAAGCGGATACATTGATTTTGCAATCGCTCAAGTTTATTTAATAGCTCCTCAGTGGCATCCAGGTAGCAAGCATCTGCATAGTCCAACAGAGGCATGATCAGCGCTTGGACGAGGCAAATCTTTGTTTTCACAGGCAGCAGGGTCTGGAGGCGCCTCAGTGAATGGATGGAGTAATGTACCCTTCGACTGACTTCATTTACCTGAGCATTCCACGATAAATTCGAGTCAATGAGTACACCTAAGTTTTTAGCGCGATCGGTAAATGGAATCGCTGTACCATTCAAACGCAATGGACCGAGGCCAGAGACGTCGAGATTGTTACGATAATATCTACTACCGATGATCATGGCCTGAGACTTCAGAGGGTTGATTTGCAAGCCAAAAGATCTGGCCCACTCAGCAACACCATCCAAGTCACGATTCATGGCATCGATAGCAGAATGAGCTTCAGACATGCCGAAGTGACGGTACAGCTGCAAATCGTCCGCATAGAGATGAAAATTAGAAGAAATGACCCTGGCAACGGTATTTATAAAGATGGAGAAAAGCAGAGGAGAAAGGACGCCACCCTGGGGAACACCAGCCGCAAGGTCGCACCAATCGGATAAGGTTTCCTCTAAGCGGACCCGCTGACGGCGACCCCGAAGATAAGATTCAAACCAAGCTAGAGAAGAAACAGAAAAATTATTGGCCTTTAGGACCCCCAACAGTATGTCAAAATCCACAGAGTTGAAGGCAGAACTGAAGTCCAAGAGCACAAGAATAGTAAGAGACTTGTTGTCCATGGCCCAGCGTATGTCATCGGTTACTTTGAGCAGAGCCGTGACAGTGCTATGGCCAGGGCGAAATCCAGATTGATAAGAAGAGATTAGGTTGCTAGATGTTAAGTAAGAAGTTAACTGCCTGTGAACAATATGTTCCATAACTTTAGACAGGTAAGGCAGTATGGAAATGGGTCGATAGTGAGAAAGAGATGAAGGATTGTTGATTTTAGGTAAAGGAATAACATGGGCATTTTTCCAGGCAGAAGGAAAGGAGCAAGAGAATAAGGAGAAATTGAAAATGTGAGTAAGGATAGGAAGAAGGAGATTTAGTATGGGAGTAAACATGCGGGAACATAAACCATCCTCACCCACTGCCGAGGAGTTAATGGCGAGCATAGACTTTTTAACCTCATCCTCTGAGACACTACAGAGATCAAAAGGAGACCAGGAGGGAGGTGACGAGGAGCAAAGATCTAGAAGAGTAATAGATTTAGTAAGGCGGTCAAGAGAAACGGGGGAGAGGGAGAAGTGATGGTTTAGGGAGATGAGGTCAACATCTTTACAAACATTGACCGGGGACTTGCCGATACCCACGGACCGCAGGAACTTCCAAACATCAGCAGATTTGTGGTTAGCCAGGTTTTCGTCAAAGTAACGTCTCCTGGCATCCCTACACAGACGATTGCACCTATTACGTTGATATTTATATGAAAACAAATTTTCCTCGGATGTCCTGCGCTTCAGTTTCTGTTTGGCCCTATCTCTGCGAGCCATAGCGTCCAATATGACAGGCGTGATCCAAGGAGCCGGATCACGCCTAATCCTCACGCGGCGCAACGGTGCGTGCTTGTCAAATAGCTCGACAATTATGTCGTTGAAGAGATTGACCTTCGCATTAATGTCATCAGCATTGATAACAGAACCCCAGTCAATCCGGCGGACATCATGTTGTAATGCCTCCAGATCCAGCCGCCCGTAACTACGCAGATTCAAATAACTAGGTTTGGGTTTTGGAGGACGCATGCGGTAGGACATAAAGATAAGATCATGGTAGGAGAAGGGGGCAGTGAGTTGACCATGATCATCTACATGGTCAGGGGACGACACAATCATGATATCAAGCAAGGATGGTGAAGAGTTAGGAGGATGGTGAGTGGCTGAAAGTGGAAGTAAGTGAAGATTAAAGGATGACAGGAGAGATTGAAGTTTATCCGCACGTGAATCTTGTTTCAGAAGGCATGTATTAAAATCACCCATTATTATTATATGGTTATAATTGGGACATAAGTTGTCGAGTTGCTTGTCGAGACAATCAAAATAGTTGATACGTAAATTAGGACTATATAAGACAGCTACTAAGATTTTATTAAGATTAATTGAAATCTCGACAAACATGAACTCGGCTGACTCTGAATAGAGAGATGGGGACGCGCTGATGACGCGGTGAGGCAAGTCTGCACGTATGTACATGGCAACTCCACCCCCGCCCCTGCCCGTTCTATCGTTGCGAGCCAATACAAACCCTGGGAGTGCATAGTGTGTGGAAAAGAGGGAAGGCTTGAGGAATGTCTCCGAAATTAGTAGAACATCGAGATGAACATTGCAGAAAGTTGCCAGAAGATCAGAGTAATGACCAGGAACACTCTGAGCATTAATGTGAGCGACATTAAGGTTTTTAGGGAAAAGTGAAAGAAGATTAGACAAGTTGTCATGCAAGGTGAGCGGCTGGGAGGCATCGCTGCCCGCACTAACAAAACTAGACGCTGAAGAACATGTGAAAAAACTGTCATTAAAACCAAGTAAATCATCCATTAAGTACCAATATATGTATAGTAAAATAAATAACTATTATAAATTCCTAATACTATAAAAAAAAAATATAAAAATAAGAGGGCGATTGCTGCCTGCCAAATTAATACCAAATTGCAAACGGCAACCCCCCCACACTTACCAAATAAATATGAATTAAAACAGAAAATTAAAAATAACATTATGCAAAACAAAAAGCGAAATACATAAAAACAAAATTAACTACAAAAGAAAAACATTGCCACAGAAAAATAATTAAAAAAAAAAAAATTAGGTGCAAAAACCAAACGCAACTGAACCACATACCTCATGCAAGCAGTATGACAGAGGAAATGAAAGTGACAGTGACAATGATGACAGATGACAAGTGAAAAATGAGAATGACAATTGTATGTAATCACAAACACAAAACACAACACAGTTATACATGAAACATGATAAAATATTATTTTCTATGTACCGGCAAAACGTGACAGAATGTAATATTAAATTAGATATAACTACCACCAGTAAATGAGACGAAAGAACAAAGCCACCGAGATATGATGAACACAGCAACAACTACGTAATACTAACACTTAGATCCGGCGAGGGTTACGCGTTCTTCGCTGGGTCTTGGCCAGCGGGTCAGCACCTGCACCAGCAGCCAAACCTGGATCTCCAGCAGGCACAGTGTCATCACCAACAGATGGGCAGCGTCGGAATTTGTTTATTAGTACCTCGAGTTCTGACATATACTCTATCTTGTGTCGTGATTTATCCGGCGCAATGATTATAATTTTGCCTTCAACCGACCAGCAATTGGTTACACCAAAATGTTTACGTGCGGCAGTGAAGGCACGGTGTCGCATTTGTGTCAGGAACTCGGAAATGGTGATGCCAGAGCCCTTTAGCGATTTCTTGTTGTCCCATACGAGGTGCCGATGCTCCGTGGTGAAGAAGCGCACTAGTATTGGCCTTGGGCTGCGGTTAGATTGCCCCAGTCGGTGACACACATGTATGTTGCTTCTACCTACCTCAGTTAACTTCATGCGGTTGTGCAGTATTGCAGTGATGACATCAGGCAGCTTCTCCTGCTTCGCTTCAGGGACACCGTGGACAAGTAAAACTTTTCTCCGCATCACAGTTTCGTGTCTGTCATGGCCTTGAGACAACAGTTCAATCTGCATACGGAAGCTGTATAGTGTGTCCAAAACAAAACGTTTAAACTCACAGTACTCAGACTGCAGCTCAGCAATATCAGCGGGTGGTGGGTTTCCCGCTGTGACCTTCTCAAGCTTCTCCTCATGCGCAGACATTCTAGAGAGCAATATTTCCTTCATTGCCTCAAAACTAGCAGCAAGCTTAGACTCCATATTGGTGAGATGAGTTTAGTCTTAATAAGTTATCGGAGAGACCTGACAACGATTATTGGCAAGCAAAGGGGGGGTCAAGAACACAATTACTGTATTAGATCATAATAATAACATTTACTCTGTTATTTGCTTTATTTTATTTTTATTATTGATTTATTATTAATTTATTGATTTGATTTATATGTCTTTACCATTTGGGAGGCGTACAAGGGCCGAAGCCAACTGCGCAGAGGCCCTTTAGACAGTATTAATCTAACTGTAATGGAGACACAAACCGGCGACTATCCCTGTATGCACTATGGAAATGCACCCAAGGACAGTCCCCGGTTAGTGTAGGACTATTGTGAATAATGAAAAAAAAGGTAGGGCTATGGATGGGTTGCTGTGGACTGGTAAATTGGGAACTATGGATGACTATGACACTTGCCGAAACAATGTAATTTTTACACGTAAAAATGGCAGGCGGAGACTCGCCAACTCACCGACCGGGCCCCGGGAATGGTTGCTAGATATAGCAACAGAGGGGCATCGAGAAAGTGAGTGGCTGAAGGGTTAAGAAACTACCACCGCTTTCTACTCAGATCATCTGCTCCAGCCGAAGCCTCCTGCATCCCTGGCCCACTCGCGACTTACGAATAGTTTCTTACCCTCCGAGCAGGATCACTGCTCTCGCGACTCCACTCTGGACGGCCAATGAAGGCAAGCCAGAGGTGGGAGACCTGTTCCTTGTCATCATTCACTCCAGCCAGCCAATTAAGGCAAGCCGGAGAAGAAGGAACGGTGACTTCTCCCTGGAGCACTCGGGATGATGGTAGCCCGCGGGATCGCTAATGCCCGTCACCTCGCCTCAAGGTGCCCCGCGGGCAAGATTTATATTATTAATGTTGTTGAATTGATTTAATTTGTCTAATTTTGTCATTTACTTAAATTAATGATCTACCCTATTATTTACTTTTGTTTTGTTTATTAATAATTATTTGCAATTGATTGTGAGTAATAAAGTGATTGTTCTCAAGTGTTTTTCTGTGAAATATACTTTTTAAATAAGCTCTTTTAGTGTTTCAATAGAATGTCACCACCGAATGAGGAGAAATCTCCAACATATATATATATATATGTGGTTCTGTTAACAATTTACTAGACAAACAGACATTAGAACCTTGTACTTATCATTAAACAAGTCACAAGCTGGGTAGGCCTCCATGAGGTTGTTAATTAAACGCAGCAAGAACAAGTGTAATTGGAGACTTCGCACGTACAGCCGTGCGGGAAGTAAGTAGGTACTGCTAAGAGCCGATGGTTCCTATTGCGAAGATAGTTATCAGGCACGTATATTTGTATTAACTCATTGTGAAGATCTGGAGCATCAGTTAATTCACGACAAACTTTAAGCATTATGCCTATCTCACGTGCAGGAGAAGGAACGGGGTGGTTTTTAGTCAGTAAGAGTCTGACACGCCCTTCCGCCTCACCCAGGCGGGAGCAGTCATTCGACGATTATCCCCGTTTAAAAAAAAACACCTTCCAATGAAATGCCAACCTAGTTACGTTATAATATTCGATGACTTCCCCCCTTAAAAAAAAAATGCCTACCTCAGGCCCTTCTTGCCCACTGGGCACTATGGGCACGTGCCCAGGGCCCCGCAATCGAATGGGGCCCCCCAGTCAGATAGATACGGCAAGGATGCAAATAATTTATAAAATCTATCACGAGGATGTAAAT